GCGAGACTCCCAACACCAGACACAGGGCCACATCACTGAGGGAGACACAAAGCCACACCAGCCAGGCGCGCAGTCAACACAGCACAACGCTGCGATACAAAGCAGGTGCAATGCAGAGAGTGAGGTGCTCAGCGACTCCCGAGGGACCCCTACTGCAGAACGGAGCAGCAGCAGCACAAAATTGACACACAGATCTGGACACGGGGGCTTGGGGTCTGATTAAAACCCTCCTTGAGCACTGTAGCAGGAGCCTGGGTGGTGTAGTGGCTACATGTTGGCATCCTAACCACAAGGTCAGCAGTTCGAAACCACCAGCGGCTCCGAGGGAGAAAGACAGGACTTTCTACTCCCCTAAAGAGTTACAGTTTCATCTGTCCTATAGGGTTGCTGTGAGTCAGGATCGACTCAATGGCAGTGAGTTTGGACCTTTGGGGGCAGCAGGAGTCCTGGTGGCATAGTCCTTACCTATTGGGCTACCAACCATAAGGTCCGCGGTTCAAATCCACAAGTTGCTCCAAGGGAGAAAGACGGGCCTTTCTACTCCCATAAAGAGTTACAGTCTCGGAAACTCACAGGGGCTGTTCTACCCTGTCCTGTAGGGTCGCTAGGAGTCAGCGGTGAGTTGAGTTGGAAGGCAAAGCCGTCATATGGACATACTGGCACCACCATTCTACCCCCTAGCTCAGAGAGTGGCTGTCTTGTGGGCGCATGCTACTCTCAGAGAAGCCCTGCAAACCCCTCTCTCCCCCGCCCCCCTGGGGTCCGCGTCATGCAGGGACGTGGACCTGGCGGCCACAGAGAGATGAGACACTCAGGAACAGGCATGTCTGGCGACACACCACATGGACACACCCAGAAACACCAAACCACACACACAGACACGCCTGGTGACAAAAACACAACCCGTGCCTGGGGGGCCGCCCCAACTCACACGCATGGTTTCCACTCCACTCGGGGCGCGAGCAGGCAGCGGGGCAGGAGAGGGATGGTGCCTTGCACCGAGGATGCCCCTCTCCTCCTCGGGGCTCCTGGACCCCTCTCTCACGCTCTCCGCCCCAACCCCTGGGGTCTGTCTATCTGTCTGTCGCTCTCTCCGTGTGCCTTTGTGTCTCCCTGTCTGTCTGAAGTACCTCTGTGCCTCTCCATCTCTGACTCTTGGTGGGGGGGGGGTGTCTCTTGGCGTTTCGACCCCCCTCTTCTCTCTCTGCCTCTGCCTTCGTGGCGCTCTCTTTCCCCATAGCCTTTCTCTGCCTCTGTGACCCTCGGTCGTCCTCTTGGTCTGTGTCTCTGTCTCTCGGCCCTGTGGCTCTCTCTGTAACTCTCTGGGCTGGCCTCTGCCTTGGTGACCCTGCCCTGTTCACGGGCACAGCCAGGGCCTCCTTACCCATGCAGTCCCCTCCCTGCTCCTCTTGGGGCCCGAGGGCCAGCCGGCCGCGGAGAGCCAGCTAATGGCGAGCCTGGCGCCGCCCGGAGGGAGACGGCACTGGCTTGCTGCTCCTGCCCAGGGCAGGGCTGCCGGAGAAGGGGCGCGGGACGGAAAGGCCGACGGACACGCAGGGAGACAGAGTTTTATGATGCCCTTAACTTTGCTGTGTCCTGTGCAGATGCACAGCACGTTCGGATTTACATGCTCCACTCAAGGTCTGATCACATTCCTTGAGAAGATTTAAGCCACAGATAGGAGAGTGAGAGAAAGAGAGAGAGAGAGAGAGAAAGAGAAGGGTGGGGGCGGGGAAGAGACGGAAAAAAAGAAGGGATCGCGGCTGAGAAGAGGGGGCGCGGGAGACGGCGCGACAACGATTCACAGCGATGGGTGACTGGGAGGCGAAGAGGAGGCAGCAGGAGGCAGACCCAGACTTGGACGTTAGAGCAGGAAGGGATGACCACAGGAACACAGAAATAGGCGCGGTGAGGTCACCGTGGGAAGGACACCTGCCTCCACACGGAAGCTCTGCCCTCGGGGGTCCGCTTTGCAGGATGTGCAGCTCTGGCTAGTTCCCTCCAGCCCAGGGAGGGGCTGGGGTGGCCTGGAGGGTTGACTCAGAGCCCCAGAGCCGACTACTATGGCCCGGTGACTCAGCCTCGCCTCAGCCTGGACGCTGAAAGGGAGATGGGGGGTGCAGGGGGGAGAGGGAGGTCTCCGCAGAAGGGAGAGAGGAGATGTATCAGAGGACCTCAGGGTGGAGGCCTGCCCAGCAGGACAGCAGGGGGGTTGAGGGGAGGAGGGGCTTGGGAGGTGGGCTATGGAGACTGGACTCCTGGGTCTGAGGGCGCAGGGGGCTGGGAACCCAGAGTCCCAGGTCTGAAGGAGGAAGGAGGTGGGGACAGGACTCTTGGGTCTGAGGAAGGAAGGGGGTTTGGGAATCTTGGGTCTAAGGAAGGAGGGTTTGGGACAGATCTCCTGGGTCTGAGGGAGGAGGGGTTTGGGGACTGGACCCTAGGTTCCCAGAAGGCTGAGACAACTGACTCCAAAGCCCTAGAACTTTTCCTTGGCCTTGCCCCAGGCTGCCACACCTTCATCTCAGCCCCATCTCCGGGCCTGGAAAGGGCCCAGGTGCCTCAGGGCCCAGCCGGAAAGGGTCAAGTACAAAGACTTGTTTAAACTGGGCAGAGTGGTGAAAAGAGGGTGTCTCAGGCGGAAAGGTCACTCGTCGCCTAGGGCTTGCGCGGGGTGGGGAAGTGAGGTGGAAGATATCCTGAAAGTCAGAAGCCTGTGCAGGCAAACCTCCCACTGTTCCGAGACCTTGGGAGGCTGTAGACCGGCGTCGGGATACTGCCACCTCACGGTATCTTTAGGAACTGCGAGCAATTGGCTAGGGCGATCTCAGATTCAGTTGGCATTATTCGCCTCTCTCTCACCTCGTGGCATCTCACTAGCCTTTCTCTGTCGTCCTTTCTTGCCCCCATTTGCCTTATTTTTTAAAAGTTCTCGTCACCTGTTGTATCCGTGTTCTCCACCAATTAAAAAAAGAATGCATGATTGCATTGAGCCATGATGGGGTAGCGGGTTTCACACTGGGCTGCTAACTTCAGGGTCAGCAGATCGAAACCACGAGTGGGAGAGAGCTGAGGCCTGCGCCCATAAGGTTTACAGTCTCAGAAACTCACAGGGGCAGCTCTACCCTGCCCTATAGGTTCAGTTCTGATTTGATATTCTTATATTACAGTGGTTCTCAACCTGTGGGTCGCGACCCCTTTGGAGGGGTTGAACGACCCTTTTACAGGGGTCGCTAGGTTCATAACAGTAGCAAAATGACACTGATGAAGTAGCAACGAAAATAATTTGATGGTTGGGGGGTCACCATAACACGAGGAACTGTATTAAAGGGTCGCAGCATTAGGAAGGTTGAGAACCACTGTTACATGATTTTTATATATTTTATACATTATTATATTTATAATATGATGATATTACATGAAATCCCAAGCCAAACTCACTGGCATCATGTCAATGCCGACTCATAGTGAACCTACAGGCCTCATTTTTCTCCCATGATGATATATGATAAATACATGATAGATGACCAGCTTCTGTAAAGGTAGCATCATCTCAAGGCCCTTCTGTACAACAGAAAGGAATGTTGCGCTGACTCATATCATCCTCAATCACCAGGATCAGCGAAGGTAGCTTTGGTGCCAATCCATCTCCCCAAAGGCCGCTCTCACCCGTGTTGCCTCCCCTCGCTCTACTTTACCAAGCACGTTTTCTTCCAGCCATTGGTTTCTCTTGATGACGTGTCCAGAGCGAGTCAGAGAGGACTCTGTTACAATTCAGGATCAGAAATGCTTGGGATACAGTTCTTCCACAAAGGCATTCTTCTCAGCAGTGCCTGCAGGCACACGCAAGCGTTCAGCCTCTCAGCCCCCTTTCCCTTTGGCCTCTACCTTGCCTGGGCAAGGGTCACAAAGCTCGCGGGGCACTGGTAACACATGGCTGAAAGTATCCCATTCTACCCATAAGTCTGGGCCTACAGAATCTCAGCTCTAACTCTGTGGGTGTGTTTGGGTATTTTAGGGAAACAAATCCACAGAAACGCATGTATAAGAGAGAGTTTTATATAAAGGTTAAGTGCGCATCAAGAAAACATCCCAACCCAGTGCTGCCCAAGCCCACAAGTCCAACATTAACCCATTAACCCATATAGCCAACACCAATCCACAAAGTCCTCCTCCATCTCACAAAACAGAGGCAATGATGCTGACTGCAGGAGGAAAGCTGAGTCAGTGAATGTGTAAACATCTCAGCACTGACAGGGGTCTTCACACGGCTGCTCCAGCACGCAGGGCTGCATCGGGGTAGGTCCATGTGGCTTCTCCTCAGGGACGTCCTGCAAGAAGTGAGCCTTGCCAGCTAAAGCAGGAACTGGCTAAGGCATCTGCACCCTGGTCCGACCATCAGAAAGCCAGAGACCTGAGAACTAGAAAGGCGAGGCTCACTGAGCCATTTATCTCTCCGCCCTTCAATTAACCCCATGTGTGTTTATCGGCCAGGTTGGCACAATAAACTAACTACCTCAGTGGGCTAGCAAGCCAGACTGCCCTCTCCCTTCCCAATTCATTGCCCAGGGGCAACCCATTCTGCCAGTAAGAGTCCTGCCTGAAGGCACTCGGCTTTCTTGCTTGAGGGGCTGGGAAGCCTACTGCTCTGCCTTATGCTCTTAGTTCTACTGCCTCTGTTTCTCTGTCACGGCTTCTTGCCAACTGACCCTGGTGTCACCACCCTCCATTTCTTGGATCCAGGCCGTTCAGCACAGAGACCCTGGATCCGAAGGATGTGCCTCCCCCCTGGCTCTTTGTTCTCGACAGTGGTGAGAACCTCCTTTTTGGTCTCTGGAATGGCTCATTGACACCTAGTCGAATGACACAATGGACCCATCCCCTCATCAGGGTTCTATCCATCTTAGTTGTACGGTCCTGCGCCCACCGGGGTGCCATGCACCTTATTGACATTCATGAGGAGCAAGCAAGCCAAGCTCCCTAGTGGGCCACAGGCACCTCACATTCGTCTCGTCCTCCTCCATCATGCTTGGGCAAGTATCGGGGCAAACTAAAAGGGGAAGACTTAACTTCGACGAGCTGGATTGACCCCATCGCTGCATGGAAGAGCTCAAACATAAACGCCATTGCGTGCACGGCGCAGAGCCAGGCGGCGCTTGTTTCTGTTGGATTGTGAGTCACGACGAGCTGGGACGGATTCAATGCCGCCACCCAACAGCAACTACAGCCCAGTCACGTGGTGGGAGTCACAAAGACCATGTCTAGCGGAGCCCAGGCCAAGTAATTCACTTCGCCACTGGCCCTTTACTCAGTCTTCTTGACCTGCCCTTTGCAACCGTCTGTTCAAGTCGTTTTGCTCCACGCACAAAGAAGACCAGGGAAGAATCTGACCATTATTCAAATGCATGCACCAACTGCCACTGCCAAAGATGACAAAATCAAAGAAGTTTGCCAACTCCTGCAGCCTGGAGTAGATCCAAACCCACAAGCGAGGTGCATGGATGATTACTGGTGGCTGGGCGGTGAAAGTTGGAAACAAATAGGAAGCATGCCAGCTCTCTGCCATCGAGCTGATTCTGACTCAAAATTACCCCATTGGGCAGGGTAGAACTGCCCCCATGGATTTCTGAGGCTTTAAGTCTTTACAGAACCAGATGGCCTCAGTTTTCTCCCATACAGTGACTGGTGGTTTAGAACTGTTGACCCTGAGGTTAGCAGCTGTATTAGTCTGGGTACTTTGGGGAAACAAATCCACAGCAACTCATGTATAAGAGAGAGTTTTATGGAAAGAAAGTGTGAATCACGAAAACATCCCAACCCAATGCTGCCCAAGCCCACACGTCCAACATTAACCCATTAACCCAACACCAGTCCACAAAGTCTTCCACCTCACAAAACAGAGGCAATGATGCTGACTGCAGGAGGGAAGCTGAGTCAGTGAACGAACAAGCATCTCAGCACTAGCAGGGGTCTCCACACAGCTGCTCCAGCACCCAGGGCTGCATCGGGATAGATCCATGTGGCTTCTCCTTGGGGATGTCTTGTAGGAAGTCAATCTTGCAAGCTGAAGCAGGGAACTGCTAAGGCAGCTGCACCCTGGTGCAACCATCACAAAACAAGAGACCCAAGAACTAGAAAGGCAAGGCTCACCATCCATTTATCCCTCTGCCTTTCAATTAGCCCCACATGTGATTATTGGGCAGGCTGGCACAATTAACTAACTCAGCAGCCCAACTCATAACCTAAAGTAGAAGAATCCATAGTTGGAAAATATGGCCTTGTGACAGAAATTATGCCAGCCATTGCATGACAGAATTTTGCAAGACCAACAACCTCTGCATTTCATATATATATATATATGTATATATATATATATATATATATTTCCAATAACATGTAAATGGAAACTAGACACGTGAACCCCACTGGAGGGAATACACAAAGCTCAAAGAGATGGCATCTGTGGAAAGAGAGAATGGTAAGCTCAATGTCATCCATCAGAACAAGGTCAGGGGGCAGACTTAGGAACAAGTCATCAATTGCGCCAATGCAAGTTCAAGTTGAAGCTGAAGAAAAAGCAAAAACAAGCACAGGAGCCAAATACCATCTGGAGTACCTCCCACCTGAATTTAGAGACCGTCTCAAGACTAGGTCTGATGCATCGGACACTAATGACTGAAGGCCAGGCGAGTTGTGAGATCGCTTCAAGGACCTCAAACAGGAAGAAAGCAGAAGCTAATTAAACTGACAGCGAAGAAAGAAAAGATCAACATGCATGATTCCCAAGGTGGCTGGCAATGATTCCTCGTTTCTCTCTGCTCAGAATAGTCCTAGCACACAGGAGATGCTCAGTGAATCATTGTTGAAGAAATGACCTTGTTCAATAACACGGATTGGCTCTGAGTGGACTCTTACATCTTGTTCTGGGAATGGGAATGATGGCATGCCCTCATTTCCACTTTTGTCTTCCCTACTGGTCAGGCGGTAAAGCATTCAGCTGCTAACTGCAAGATCAGCGGTTCAAACCCACTAACTGCCACGTCTTTCTCCGGTGAAGCTGTCTGCTTCTGTAAAATGACAGCCTTGGGAGCCCTATGGGGTAGTTTCACCCTGTCCTGTACAGGATCTCTAGGACTTGGAATATACTCCATAGCGATGACTTGCTTCTTTATTTTTTTAACTGGACCACAGGAATTCCTGTTGTTGGTTTTGGAGACCCAATGTGATGGACCTGTCCTTGGTGCTGACCTGAGCTCCCACTTCCCTTAAGCTAGGAAGAGCCGATGATGATGCATCTTGAGAAGGGAATGGGGAAGAGTGTGTGACATCCTGTGCTAGATGCAGGCACGGGATCAACTGGATCACAGAGAAATTACAGACACGCGAGGCCCCAAGAGAGGAGGCTCCTGGGTCCCTGTGCGCTCAATGGGTGTTTGCTCTGCCTATTCCCACCCCTCATGCTGAATTGGCTCGCATGTTGCTGTGATGCTGGAAGCTATAAAACTCATACTTCAAAAACAAACAGGGGGACCCATGGTGGACAGGCTTCAGTACATCTGCCAGACCAAGACAGGAGGAACGGTAGGCCTTAAAAAAAACAAACACACACCTGGCCAGTGAATCCCTTACAAGTTAAAAATAGAACTTTGTCTGCTAGAATACTGAAAGAGGAACTCCTCAAGTTGGAAGATACGAGTAGGGAAGAGCTGGCTTCTCAAAGTAGAGTTGTCCTTCATGATGGTGTGGATGGTGTAAACTAGAAGGCACCGTCACTTGCTGACGTGCCACAAATGAAATGGAGAAGCGGCTGCAAACATCCGTTGATCGTTGGAATGTGGAGTGTACAAAGCACAAATCCGGGAAAATGGGAAGTCACCAAAAATTAAGTGAAGCATACGTAGCTCCATCTCACAGGCCTTCGTGAACTGCAATGGATTGTCTTTGAACATTTTGATCCAGACCAAACGGTCTACGACACCAGGTCTACAACATTCCAGGTCTGCACTAGGAACGACAAATTGAAGAATGGCTTTACACTTATAATGAAAAAAGAACATTTTGAAATCTATTCTGAAGATCCCCTTGCAGAGGGGTCTCGGGTAGGAGACGAGCCAGTCAGGGTGCGATGTAACAACGATGAAAAATACAACTTTCCTCTAGTTCCTAAATGTTTCCTCCCCGC